CATAATGACTCTGCGCTCTCTTCAATGAGCACGCCAGCAGCATCACGGGCACAGAGCTGGATTAAGAAAACTTTTAATGAATTCAGGGGTAAGAGTGTGAATGAATGTACAAATCCCAGGATTGTTTTGGAGCTAATTACACTCTAATTAAAAGCAGTGGTCCATCTCCCAGCCCTCCGGATGCAAACGCAGTCACAAACGTTGCAATGGGATCTAATTAATGCCACTTTTTTATGTTGCACTGCAGTAAAGCTCTCAGCACGAGCTGTTGATGGTTGTTTACAGATGTACACATGAATCAGCTTTTGTATGTATATTTTATGCTGCTTTGTTTCGATTTTAAGCCTGTTTGACTTTTTTTTTTATCCATTAGTAGTATCAGTGACAGTTTATGATCCAGCCTGCTCTTGGCCATAAATCCATTGCTGCCCTGGCTCAGTTTTCCATCAGTGAAACAGCTGTTGCAGACAAGAAAAGAGAAGGAGGCTGCATCCCCAAAGTGCAGTGCAAATGCTGTCATCAGCTCACAGCAGGACACATCTGTACAGCAGCTGAACACAAATAAAAACTGACATGACGGCGCAGCATCAGAAGATTGAAGTCTCTGTCTCACAGCAGCGGCACTGTTAGTGCAGTTTTTGCTGCTTTGGGTTGTTCTTGTTGGGGGGGGGGGGGGGCTTGGGGGTTCAGATTAGATGTATAATGAAACTGTGGATTCTGGAAAATGACCAAGTGAGTTGTTTAATACAGTTACAATCACATTTTGGGGTTAAGAGACCTCCAGCAGACGTGCAAATGAGTAAAATGTGCATATAGTGGAACCACAGACTGTATATAAATCATGGATGTAGCTGCTGTGACGTCGTTCACTGGTGTTGTTTTAGATATAAAGTCAACCTGGGGGAAGTCCAGGCCTCGAGGGCCGGAGTCCTGCAGGTTTTAGATGTGTCCTTGATCCAACACAGCTGATTTAAGTGGCTAAATGACCTCCTCAACATGTCTTGAAGTTCTCCAGAGGCCTGGTGATGAACTAATCATTTGATTCTGGTGTGTTGACCCAGGGTGAGATCTAAAACCTGCAGGACACCGGCGCTCGAGGCCTGGAGTTGGTCACCCCTGCTGTAGAGGAACAACTACTGAACTATGCAAAGACTGAATGCTGATTGGTATAAAAGATGGCTTAAACAGGAAAGGGCGAAGAAGTACACCTGAGAAGCACTGCGTTCATTGTTTTCAATCCTCAGACTCACTTTCTTTAAGTTTTATTTCTTTTCGTGGAAACTGCGATAAGGCTTTCAAATGATATGCATTTACTGCAATAAATTAATTAACAAGGATGTCTACAGGGGTTTTGTATAGACTGTATATAAAAGATGGCTATAACATTTTTTTTAAAGAAATGCCTTGAACCTGCATTCTCTCTAATAGCCAGGAGGGGGTGACTTATAGTGACTTCTATTACAAAAAGAATTCCATCTGCAAAGACATCTTTAGGAAATATTTTACACACTTAATGCATTTTGAAAAATTGCAATGAATTTCTGGATTTCACGGATCCAAACTTACTGTGTAACCTATATACACGCCAAACATGTTGCCTTTTTTTTTTTTTGAAAAATTCACCCTCAACAAATGCACTATGATAAAAAACAGGAAGTTGACAGCGATCATGAGCTGGTCCTCATGTTCAGAGAAATGGAAGAAACAGAAATTCTAGGTTCATCCATTTCTCACAAGAAGGCATGCAGAGAGACAAATTTCATGGTTTGATCCAAGGAAGGTGTAGCTGTAAAGCTGTATCACGGCTACTTTTTGCACCAAATTTGTCAAGTGAAATTACGCGGTCACTATGAACGGCTGCATTATGAATAGGTGAGTCCCAAAAATATTTTAAACGTTTGAAATATTTGCATTTTACACCTCAGGTATGTAAAGGCCTTTACGCTCCAAATGAAAAGCAAAGCAGATTATTTTTTAGAGCTACAATGTAAAATGTGGCTCTCACTCTTTTTCTAAGAAAAGAAATCTATAATTGATGCAGGAGGCCAGGAAGCTGCTGCTGGCCTTGTATCACTCCACAGTAGAGACTCTCCTACTGCCTGGATGTTTGGTACGCAGGGGCCACAATGAGAACAGGAAGGCTGCGCAGAGGGTAATTAACACTGGCCAAAAAATAACTGGCTGCCCTCTGTGACCCCTGGAGGCCATCGCCAGATCCTCCTGTCTGAGGAGAACAAGGGCCATCACAGGTGACCCCCACCCACCACCCGTTTGACTCGCTGCCCACTGGTAGCGTCTCGGGTCAATCAGGTCCCACACCTCCAGACCATCAACCCTCAGGCCACTCACATATGGACTCTATTCTCAGACCAAGTCCTCAGCACGACTTCCAAGCACGTTTCAAGTTGTTCTCGAATGTGTGCCTTTCTCTTAAGCACCATTTGTAGAGGAAACAGTTGTAGATGTGTTGTTTAAATCCGCTGAGCACCAAAATAGTAATGCAACACATCTTCTCTACAGCATCCTTATTGGTTTTCTTTAGGAAATGACAACATCACAGAAAGTGAAAAAATAACTGCAGACCTGAGTATTGCCACCATGTGAGAATTATGCAGAATTGTAGGAAGACCACATTTCCCACTGCTCAGTTGCTTCTTGTGCTTCACCCTAAAGGGCAGAATGACATCATCAGGTACATCATCAGGGGTCTTGTGGGATAAGTAGATACGTTGTTTTTTTTGTTTTTGTTTTGTTTTTTATTAATTATCGCACCTAAATGAAGCCAGAAAAGCTTTGAGGGATCTAAGTGCTTTGACCTTAATGCCAGTATTACCTTGCATTCACTACCGATGGCTAGCTATATTAATTTTGCATGAGAGCATGATAATCATTTCCTAATTAGCACTGACCACCAAGTAGAGCTGAGCTGAGGGGGAATTGTCATTATTTTTTAGATATTTGTTAATAAATCAAAGAGTTCTTTTAAAAAAATCTATAAAAAGATGCTTTCTAAAATCTCAAACATAAATTCCCTAGACGACTTTTGAACCCCTTACATTACTTACTTACATTACACTGTTGCACCACAAAGATGTCTGAAGTCTTGCTACATAAAGCATCTTTAACAACATAGAAATATACTATGTAACTTTAAATATATCTGTATATCGACACCATTACCAGTCAGCTGATCCACAGGTGCCTTATTCATCTACTGAGGCTGCTCATGCATGGATCTGCTGCCTGCACCTTCAATTTAAGTTTAAGCAGCTATTTCAGATACTCCACAAAAACTTCTGCCATCAGCCAGAAATAAAGATCTGACTCGCTTTCATAGCCCCCCCCCTGCGGTTTTTGCCATAGCATTCTTCCATCAGCTGGAGCTAAACCACTGTGACTCAGCAGAAACATAAACATCTCACACGCCGGGAGGGCCGCGTGAAAACAAAGCAGAAAGGAGTCATATTTAATTCATAAGCCAGTGCATTGCAGGAAAGACCAGATTGTCTGATACGCCGAAGCCTGGAAGGTCCTGGCAGCTGACTCTGGAGGTCCAGGAAATGACAGCCAGGGCCAGGACTGCAGCCGCCATGAAGCACACGTCAGACAGGAAGGGGCCCCACTCAAGCTGGTTAATGTCAGTGGATATTTACTGTCGCTGGGTGAGCTTTCTGCATCCTGCAGGACACAGCTGCATTTCCCATAGGACAGCTCTATCTTAATGGGCAGCAGAGGCATAATGAAGCACGGGTGGTGGATAAATGGATGCAGCAGAAGTGGCAGCCAAATTTATTTTCGCCCTGGGAATTGGGTCTTTGTAATCTAATGTGGAGGCTGAGCTCTTTGTCTTTTTCTTTGTCCCCCACCTGTGGTGGTTGATGGGGGACTTGATATCATTAATGCAAACAGGCTGAAATAATGTAGATTTATTTGGAAATGAAACAGGACCACATACATTAAAAATAAATATATATGGAAACAATGCATTTGGTTTGATAACGCCTTGGTGGCTTTATCAGTTTGTTTGTGTACCTGCCTCCCTATTTTAACCCCGCCTCCTCAACAGGTACTTATGCTAAAAGGGGCGGGCTAAAGGAAAAAAGAAGTGGGCAGAAAATCTAAGATATGAAGATAAAGCATAGACTGTATATGTAAGATGGACAGCATAATGCCATTTGTCAGCATTATGCTTTGCAACTTGGAAGCACAGAGAGGAAAGTTTTAAATGTCACCATGATGTGGATGTGTCAGCTGTGAGATGGATATGACATGTAATAGAATCAGTCTTCCTAATGGCCACCAGAGGGCGACACTTAAACTTGAAAACAATCATTCTGCTGTTTAGAAGTTTAAAGAGGAAACTGCACTTAAATGCCTTGCTCTCTCAGCTCAGTAACCCCCTTTCCTGATGCTTTTTTGGGGGGTTTCTGTCGACAATTGTCTGCCCAACGGCTCATTAGCAAGTGAGCATATTTATCTCTGCATTTCAAAATCACATCTGCCTTGTTGTGAATTCCACTTCCACAAAGCTAATTCCCAGGAGTCAGGCCTAATCAGAATCAGTGTGACACCGTTTTCGATCTTTAACCAAGGCCGATTACTTTTTTCTTTTTTTTTTCATTAAGATCACAGAAGACCTGGATTTAATAGCTTTGTAATTGTGCAAAAAGTCTGTTTCCACCATTCGTTGCTACAGTGGAAACATCCAAACATGCCCATATTCACACTGCAGTTTATAGGAAACATAACAGAAGGCAGTTGCTGGTGCATGTACGCTGATAGGAGGGGGTGCTACAGCGGGGTTACTTTACAGGCCTAATGTTTTGTGTCAGATGAAGCACCGGCAGCCATATTGATCATTTTTCATGCCCTGCCTCATTTCACTAAGAGCCCCAACATGACTGCTGGTGGCATTTTTTATGTCAGTTATGAGACACGCAGAAAAAAAAGACAGAACGAACTGCAGCTCTGACAGCGACAAACAAACAAACACACTCTAATGTGCTGCAACATGCTTTACTTTAATAATTGTGAAAACAGTGATTATTCATGTTGAGCAGGTGAAATGATCAATAATCACACCCTAAACAAATCACCCACCATGCACATTACAAGCCTTTCATTTACATTTTATCAATAAAATAATCAATATAGCCTGTTTTTTTTTTTTTTACCTTCTAGTGGTAGGTAAAAGCTTAAGTCACATTTTTTTTCATTTTAATCATAAATTATTTTCAAATCACTTGAAAGATTAAAGAGAAATCCCAAGGAGCATTAACCAATCACGGTTAAGCAGGCTTTGAGCAGGACCCTACAGAGATATCGCCAAAATGCAATATCCAAACAATCGTTAATCTTCTTACGGGAAGATTTATTTAAAAAAAAAAAAAAAAAAAAAAAAAAAAAAAAGACCTTATAGACAAATGGAACGAGCAGGCCACGCTTGGATATCGCCCCAAAACACTCGCTATCACTCGGAAACAGTGAGGTTGCAGTGGCTGGGGTTGATTCTCAACCAGTTATATTTTTTTTAAATGTTCACTGAAAGACGCAAATCCAGTAAGTGAACAACATTTATGGGGGGCGTTTGTTTATGATAGGACAGTAAAGGAGGGAGAAGGCGTGCAAATGGTGTGGGGTCAGATTTGAGCCCGGCCCTCTGCAACAGCCTTATGTTATATGGATCACCTGCTCTGTGAGCACTGAGATATACTGGCATCCAGTCACTAGAGCAATATTTAAAGTGACTCAAGGTAGCTTTGTACTCCTGAGTTTGTCACTCGTAGTTGTAAACAACATTAAACATTTTCTTTCAGGTTTTTCCAAACACGGAGCAGTGACTATCACACGGCGCCGCTGTTTGTTTCCGTGTTCCCAGAAGTTGGGCCCAGCTTCCTGCTGACATCACAAAGGTCGTCTAAAGCAGCAAAGCTATCATTAGGCACCAACGCGCAGTCCGTCATGTGTCTTGACTAAGTTGTTACGAGAATTCGTGACACTAATGGCCTAATCTGACACAGTGTTTTTCATCATTACGTGATACAGTACGATGCGTTCGTATGGTAACCACTAAATGTGGATGACGTATAAAACTTCCTGAGATAATCACGAGGAAAGCACTCAGGTGTTTCTTCTGATACGGCTCGCACACCGCTGCCGTTTATTTTTTATTTTCTGTAAAAAAGTTAGTGTAGTTTCTTTAAACAACACCTCAACAATTGTGATTGTGCCAAAATGCCACATGTTTACGTGCATCTTCAATTTGCACATAAAAACAAAGTGCGTGGAAATGCTGGCAATTGGTAGAAAATCATTTTACATTTGTTCGAGGTGGAAAAATTCAAGCATCAAAACAACAACAACAAAAAGAAATTATGAAGTGTAACGGGAAAATGTAACAGTTCTGAAGCTTTCTTCTGCACTGCCTCTCGCTTACCTATTCAGCAAACCAAAGTCTCATCATTCAAAGTCATGTGAAGCTGCTTTAATAGCAGTTGACTGAGAAGTGAGTTAATCCTAAACTGGTTATCTGTTCATTATAAACAGCAGCTAATAAATCACATATTCTAATCTTCTGGAATTCATTAATATCTGTGGCTTCATTTGTTTTCTTCTCAGTTACTCAAATTAACACTTTTAGTGCTCAAGATCCACCATTGCTGTCTGTTTTTATGCTATTATTAATTATTATTATTATTACTATTATTATTACTATTATTATTATTGCAAAACACCACCAACCCCCTTTACACCACTGATGTTAAGCAATGACACAAGAATCGGATGTTTTCTTTGGGGGTGCTGAGGGAGATGGAGGGACATGTGTGGGCTGGTTAACTGTTCTGATGTTTGAGTACGAGGTACTGTATTGGTACCCAGAAGACGCCGAGCTAGATGGGTACCCAGAAGACGCCGAGCTAGATGGGTACCCAGAAGACGCCGAGCTAGATGGGTACCCAGAAGACGCCGAGCTAGATGGGTGGGGCGAAGAGGTTGTGTTAGGTGAGTAAAAAGAAGCGGAGGTACTGGCTTTATATCCAGAGGAGATCGTGCTAGGTTGGTAAGCCGATATGGTAGCTGGCTTTGGTGCTGCCACTGGCTTTGGTGCTGGTGCTGATGCACCACCACTGTACATCAATGTACTAACTAGTGGGTGTGTGGTCTTGTACTTTATCAGGTACTCGGGGTAGATCTGGTGCTTCTCAAACACCACATATATGGAGGGGTCCATTACATCGTCAACACAGCTGTCATAGAAGTTTATGTCCCCTCCGTCCTTCGAAGGAGGTCGGGGATAATCGGAGGACCCTTTGGTGAAGTCTCCCACCAGCACCCGTGAGATGAACATGTCTCTGACGTCAGTGTCACCGGTGTAGTTGTGGGAGTATCTGGCATCACGGGCAAAGTAACTACCTGTGTTTAGACACCAAAAGAGACCATTGTGATTATCGGGCAAAAAAATAAGCATCGTTCCTCACAACCACAGCTGACAAAAATGTCTGTTTGGTGAGTTTGGAGCTTCTGTTTTTTAAATGTATGGTTTATGAAAACATGCTTTTTATCAATAACTGTTTCAGCTTGAACATTTCTTCCAATCACCTTTGCCAAAAGCCGTTCCATTAAGTCCGCAGATTCTCCAGTCAAAGTTGTGGTGGCAGATGGTGTCAACAAATTTGGAGTGAGTGCCATGAAAAAGCTTTTTCTCAGTCACATTTCCCCCTTTGTTTTTGGTCTTCATCTGATTCTTTTGCCTTGAAATAGAAGACATACAAATATCTTACGTCAGTCTGGTTTGTCTGTATGTCGTGAAAGTGTGCACGCTGACCCTGGACTGTGTACACAAACATTAACACAGCCTCTGGCTCTGAGGAGTGACACCAGTGCAGGAATTTAAATCTGTATTCTTTCAAATCACCAGCAGGGGGCAGAAAATGGATAAAAGAAGTCAGAGTTTACTGAAGTCTGTGGACCGCAGAAGACAATACGTACCATTGAAAGACTTCCCAAAGAGCTTTGTTCTGAATCCTCTCAATTTTGACAATATCAAAGCCTTTCATGGTTTTACAGAAATGAGTTTCCACCGTCTTAAATTCATCTGAAGCGCGCTGGACGGAGATTCGCTGTAAGAAAACAAAGACATATTGCAATCTTTCAACACGAGCATTTCCCTTCACCATTTAGTTAGTATGAATTCTTTAGCTTTATGTCTGAGTACAAATATAAATTCTATAATGTTATTTTTAAACAAGGCCAGCAACAGTGTTAAAAAAGGCATTTTACTCCTAAGAACAACACAGAAATGGAAACTCTGAATTCAACGATAGGAAATATATTTCTAAGCTTAGCTTTTTTTTGTCTTTTTGTTTTTTTACTTTTTTTCCCCAAATATGTTCTTAGAAAAAAATTATTTGGGAAAATCTTTTGCTTACTGTAGAAATTCCACTTGAAGTGTCATCTGCACAGGAAGCAATGTGGGAACCAGTGACTGAATAAAGTAAATGGTTTTTATCTTAAATCAACAATACAATACAAGACCCGGTGAATACAGCCGGGTCCCAAGTTAAACTCTCCAAATCTCTGAAACAGCCAATGAGAACGTAAATGAGAAGGAAGGCTAATGTTTACTGATATATGACAGGGTGGTAAATACATTAGAGGGTGACCAGTTTCAGAATACATAGAGAGCTCAGTATTCAGGAACTGTACCGAGGAAAGTTCTTAGACAGTGAAAGCCCACACGGAGAGGACTACAGTAATTAATGGTAAATGGCCTGTATTTGTATAGTGCTTTACTTAGTCCCTATGGACCCCAAAGCGCTTCACACACACATTCACACACTGACAAGCTACATTGTTGCCACAGCCACCCTGGGGCGCACTGACAGAGGCGAGGCTGCCGGACACTGGCGCCACCGGGCCCTCTGACCACCACCAGTAGGCAACGGGTGAAGTGTCTCGCCCAAAGACACAACGACCGAGACTGTCGGAGCCGGGGCTCGAACCGGCAACCTTCGAACTGACGAACTACCAACTCTTGAGCTACGATCGCCCAATAAAGTCTGTGAGAATGTAAACTCCCAGGGTTTAATGGATAACTGGAACTTCCAGTATTCAGGATGGTGTAACATAAGAGCCCACACTGAAAAATACTATGAGGCCAGAATCAAGTTTCTATCTGAGGAAGGATAACAGATCAGATATGATCTTAAAAATACGTTTTTAAGATAAAGGCTTGTCTGTTTTTATTTTATGTCGTTCGGTTGTCTTATTTAATCCTTTTTCTCTCTTTTTTTTGTTATTTTGTATGCGTGTTATATTGTTTAATATAATGTTGTATTTAAAAAAAAACTGATTGCTTTCACCTTTTACTAGAAAATTACACTGCATAACATTGAGTTGTACATCTACATTACTATGTTTGGAATATGTTAACATATGTACAGTGTTGGGGAGTAACGGAATACAAAATATGAGTAACTATTCCGTTACAGTTACCGTTTAAAAAGGTGGTATTCAGAATACAGTTACTTTGTTGAAATAAATGGATTACACTGCGGTACTTTCCTGTTTCATGTTGTCGCGGGTCAGGACTGTTTGGGTTTTGTTTGACAGCTACGTTCTGTTGTTCCAGGCGGCAGCGTTACGGTTGCCATGGTTACAGGGCGACGCTCTCTCTCTCTGTGACTGTGTGTTTCCTGGGTGAGAGAGCGCCTTTTCGTTGTTGTTGTTGTTGTTGTGCTAAGCTAACAGGCAGAATGCTACAAGCATAGCTCTAAAGAATGTAGCATCATGGGAAGTGTAGTCCGTGCTGCAGGGAGAATGGACTGCCATACACGTTATGTGTCTGTGAGCGCGAGGAGGGAGAAAAAGGAGAGTGAAAGGTACGAGTTGTCGTCGAGCAAAACCGGGAGCTGGAAGCATGTAAATATAATAATAACCACTGCAGCCAAGAAGAGTGCCTGACGAGCCCAGTTGTAAGTAAGCTATTAAGACTCGACTGTACACCGTGTTCGTGTTTTCCTCCGAAAACAATAAGTTCCGTTGGAGCAGTCTTTCAATGCCTCTCTCTGTCTGTCGCAAGAAAAGTTGACCCACACAACAAAGTAAAGCTATTTTTTGGCTACGAGCCGACAGGGACCGCGCCGTATTAGCCAGAGGTCCCTTTACTACGGTTCGGAGTCGCGGACCTTCAGTAATAGTAATAAATCACACAGCAATAGTACATTCACGTTGTTGTAAAAAGCACGATAATATATTAAGTAATCCAAAGTATTCAGAATACGTTACTCTCATTGAGTAACATAACGGAATACGTTACAGAATACATTTTGGGGCATGTAATCTGTATTCTGTAATGGAATACATTTTAAAAGTAACCTTCCCAACACTGCGCGCGCGTGTGTGTGTGTGTGTGTATATATATATAAGTCTAAACTTGAGTGTGAGCTCAAACAGCAGAGACATAAAACTAATATTTTATGGTTTCACAATACCGAATATCCTGTTTCGGGGATCTGTGTCTTGTCCCAGTTGTCTGGTATTGGAGCAGATGCTTTAACCACGGGCCGTCTGCAGAGACAGAGGGTTAGGATGACTTTAAATACACAAGGTTTGGGTGTAATACGTCTGAAAACATAAGTAACACAAATGCCATTAAAAGTTTCTTTGATATACAGACACCTTCACTTTTTACATATGTTTTAAGATTTCATTTTAAATCAACAAAACATTTTTCCCATCACATGCCATAATGGCAAGAGCTCATGTTTGTCATTTTTAGGAGTGTTTTTGTTTGTTTTTCAATTTTTTTTATAATTGCTAAATAAAAAAAAAGAACAAATAGGACCCACTGCTGAGATGATCTGGATACGGTTAAGAAAGACGCACACCTGAGCATGTAATAACCCCCACAGTTCATACTAATATCAGAAAAAACAAACAAACCAACTATGAAATCTTAGGAACTCTTTCTTAACATCCAGGGCGACAGGCCTCACCAGGTCTAGATCAGGGAACGGGTCTAGAATCATATCTCTGTGTCACTGTTTTATCAATTATGTCTTTATGGTAGAAAGATGCTTGAAAGAAGCCACTTTGAGTAAAGGGCACCAGATAGCTCCCTCGGCACACAGCTCTCACAACACGACGTGATGTCACGGTGTTGGTAGCATCATGCTCTGTGCTGCTTCAGGCAGCAGAGACGGGCAGGGCTGAGTTAGATCAAAATAAAGGTTCACATTTCTGCACAGCAATGAGCTGCATCATAGGCGTTGCTGCTGGTTACAGAAAGTCTGTCCTTCAGTGGTCCAGAGTTAAACTCCAATACAGTATAATGTGCATCAACAGACCTGAAACAACCAAGTCTGACAGGACCTGCCATGAAGACCAGAATAAACCAAACAAATCCAAGAGTGTAGAAGCCAGACTCACAGCTGTACTACTACAAAATCGGTTTGGGATTTTTTTAATGAAATTTGTGGAAATTTGAAAAAAAAAAAAAAGCAACTTACGTTTAGCAAGCTCTGACTGGAGCATTTTTAATGTCTAGTGCTTGCCTGTTTTTTGACATTCTTGCTACTGAATGGACAAACATGGTGAATTTGCTTCACTCTAATCTTAAGGCCCTGGCAACACTAGTATGTTGGCACGTATGGTAAACCAAACCCAAACGAGCACTGTCTTCATGCGGCCTTCCCTCAGCTGGAAGCTCGAAGGCCAAAGCTGGAACATCAAATTCTCCCGAATTCTTCCTCAAGGTCGCCTGCAGTGACTTGGGGATTGTTGACTTTTGCTTAAAACTAGGTGAAAGCGCACTCTCTCTCTCTTTGGATACAGGAAACACACACGCACACATGTACTCAGACACACACACACACACACACACACACACACACACACACACACACACACACACACACACACACACACACACACACACACACACACCTCGCCCTCCAAACGCCTTCGACGCTTACACCTGATGCGGTCAGGCAGGTCTCTGTCCAGCGCCAGGTTTCAGCTGCAGGACCAGATGACCGTTGTCTACATTGGCTCTCTCCATTACCCCTTACCACCCCCCACCCCCCGATCCCTGTCGCAAATCATGTGTTTTTTATGTTGTAAGTTGTGAGGATTCATGTGCTTCATTGTGCTGAGGGTTTTTTTCTTCTTTCTGTTCTCAAACTGCTCTCCCATCTGGGCGGAGTTCTTTTTTTCCCTCCTCTTCCCTCATGTATTGCATCATCTATCTCTCTGTATGTACAATCAGAAGGCGTCCTGTTTCACTGCATGTACGTGTAACATTGCTAATGACAATTAAACGTCTCAATCAAGTGTTGAACAGGAATCATGTTAGATTCTGGCAGACACACTGGTCTCTACAGACTGGTTGGTAACGATCAAGGAGTTAACAAGTCTATCAGACTCATTTAAAACACTACATGTAAACCAAAGTGAAGGTGTCTTAAAACTTTCTTGGGGCTGTTTTTGGGATGACGTACCTGACTTTCTTTGTTAGGACATCTGCAGCAGAGACAAACAGTGGCCGTCTGCACACACACCTTTTGGTGCCATAGCGTTTATTTGTCTGTATCATGTCTGAGGAGGAAGTTTAAAGTTAAATGATAATGAGAAACTCAGTTTTACATTTTAACATGCAGAAATGAGTCAACACAGAGTTTCTATATTCTTTGTTTACCCTGGAAACTGAGTGAATACGACTGGGAGCCAGCAGTGAAGTCCACCACGTCTTTGTCATTGGCCAGAAACTTCTCCTCCAGCTTTGTGCTGTTGATGTCTGCTGCTTTATGTCCACTAGTCTGCAAAGCAAGAAAGGTGACTGTGTTTTTAACCTGAAAACAAACCTGCATCAGCATAAGAGCAATGAACGATTGGTAAGAGAAATTAATTTATAATATTTAATAAATATCCCAAGATAGCGACTGTCAAATTAGCTTGGCTGAAAACCATTGAGGCCGTTTGAAAGTCTGACGTTCTTTCCAGTAGAGTTACCCTAACAGACTTTAACTTTACTTATTTATTTTTTAAACTCAACAGTCCAGTATGAGCATGCTCAGTTCACATGATCAACTGAGCACAGCTGGTACATGTAGCCGTTTACTTCAGCTGCTAATTTCTCCTCAGAGATACCAGAGCTGTATGCACAGACTGTGGCAGCCTCGATTTACAGCCATAATAGATGAGATTAAAACTTTAATCATGAGCTGTAATTCCAGCAGCTTAAACAACAGAATACAGAGAGGATAAAAAAAATATGAAAAATATAGTTGTGATTGCAGCAGAAGCAATGCAGTGACCTCCAAAATGGTCAGTGAAATAGAGGTTCAGTGACTATTTGTAGCTCAGATCAGCTCCGCTAGCTTTTCTTGCTGAGGCATGCTGTCAGTGTGGATATCTTCAATAAAACTCTGGAGCAGCTATTTTTTCCATGTTTGTTCACTGTTTTCTACCTCCCAATCTGTTGAGAAGTGTTTCACAATTATACCAGTCCTATGACGTGGCATTACCCAGAGCAAAGACTTTAACCTTTGATTAGAAAATCAGATAGTTTACGCTTTAATAACAGCCTCTGATGTAATAAATCTATTGAGGCAGTATGACTTTAAAGATATTTTAACAGAGAGTGACAACAGAGAACTGACTTCGAAGCTGATATATTGAACGTGTTAGCAAACAGTTACACATTTACATAGTCAAAAACCCCAGTGGATGACACTAAGGTGCTTGTGTGCACCTTTTATGTAAAGGTCCTACATGCTCAGTGCTCCATTATTTTTGCAGTCTAGCACCTAGATATGGTTCTGAGCAGGTATTATAGAATTGGTTTTTAAGAATTTTTTATCATTGAAAATGCTGTCGAGATGTTTAGCTCTCCTGACGAGAGCTAAAGCTAAAACAAACACAAGCTGAAAAGCACTGAAATGCTTTGTGGAGATCACCTGGAGGGGGAAAAACACCCGGTAGGGTCATAGTTCGAGGGACTTTTTTCCACATTACAAATGTTTTTTTTAATCATGTTTACAACAAAAGTACTGACTCACGTGCTAACAACCTTTTGAAAACACTGTGGATGAACAGTGGATTCTGATGCTACTCACATCTGCGGAATAAGTGTTCCACCTCCCAAACTCATCCTGCCAGTACCAAAGCCACTCGGTGGTGTGGATGAAAGTCGGCTCAATCACGGAGTTTTCTGTCGAGAGTCGACGTACTTTGTTCGATCCACAGGTCATCGTGTCAAAGTGCACGGCTGGACTGGTGCTACTGCAGACACCCAAAACAGAAGGCATAATGTTAACATTTTAACAAGTGTGTGGAGTTTGAAAGAAGTTGATATTAAGGAAACAGTAATAGAAATAAAGAATTGTGTCCTGTGGCTGTGGAATCATCACCTAAATCGTCTCCTTTCCACAACCAGGTCCTTGTGTTTGTGTTGGGTCTCACTTTAGGATGAATTTGTCTCATAATTGGAGATTAAGTATCAGAACTTCAGGAGTGGGACCACACCTGCAAACACACTCCTTCCAGTTCTCATCCATATAGGTTCCCCCAGTCCTACAAGCTGTTCATTCTCGTTTACATGACCCACCCTCCATCCCCTTTTCAATTCTTTAACTTCTTGACTTGTATTTAGTACGTTTAGTACGGGATGTGCCAGGTCCTGGAGCCGCCGTCAGTCCCTTTCGAGGCCTTCCTCAAACCGCAGCTCAATTCATGTCAAAGCCATTCACCTTTATCTACGAAAATGCTGTCAAATATAAATGAGGACGTGGGCCCAGCTAGTGAATTACCCGTTACCAATGTAAACCTTATTCTACAGGCCCACACACCAACACAAATCCCTATTCTAAAGAGGACACACGTATGATCTTTGTCATAGTATTTATGTATGAACACAAAGCAAAGATGAAAACCAGCACAAAGAGACGTTAAAGCGATCACCACAATGATTCTACTTTGGAAACATATACAGGCAGAAACTGAGCTGGCAGCCTGACTGCTCCTCAGTAGGGAAGGATACCGATATCAGGTGCCATGATGGCACCGGTTCTGACATAAACGGTAGTAACCAGACCTAAAAGCAGCGCACATTTCGGTGCTTTTTTTCCTTAGATGTCACACACTTCAGATTCTAGCCAATCATTTTACGTTTCCGAGGATAGTAGGCGGGTCCAGGTACGTACGTTCTTTTAGAGCAGAGCTACAGATTACAAATGTCCAAGGCGAAGCGGTCAAAGTCTGGCTGTACTTCACAGCAAAAGATGCAAACTCAGCAGCAACAAGTGCTTTAAGCTGATACTGTGATACTGTCAAAGGAGGTAACTCCTCAAATCCGATGAAACACCTGGCGACGTACAGTGTTTTTTTAAAGGCAAGAAATGCACCGTATTTGATAGCTTGCTGCGAGACCTCACACCGAGCACATCTACTGCGGGTGTGGTGCCTGTTATCGGACCCGGAGTTAGCAACATCCCCCAAGAACCCGAAGAGGAGAGTCCTGGCCCCTAGCCCTGCCAGTGTAGCAGAAATGATAGCGGATGATGATGGCAGCAGCAGCCGTTCTTCTCTGCGTGAGTAGCTTAATGTTGTTTGTGTGTAATTTACGTTGAGTAGGCTAACCACGTTATTACATTAATGCAGGTAAGGTGAACTAGCAAACATCATCATAGCTACATGCGGCTGTCTTCTTGTTTGATGGCAGATACTCCCTTCACCCTGGACAAAAAGGCTAAAATGACCAAAGAAAAAGTGGAAAACAGCTGAACATGAGAGGTTTTTGGACAAAGTTGGTGTTTTTTCCATTGTTTAAGCACTGCTTCCAGCCAAGAGTGATACCATATATGCCCCATAGCTGCAGAAAAGGCTAACGTTGTTATCTTGGTGCTTGCAAAGAGCTGAAGTTGTGTTAGCGGGATAATGCAGTTGTTTCCATCCTGGATGCAGTTCCCACTTTACCATCACACTCTTGTTCTTTTGCGGAATAAAAATAAAAGTAATGTCCGTGCTCATGCTGTGGACCACTCCACTACTTTCATCCTCAGACACATGAGCTGAAATCAGCTGATTCAAGTGCAGGTGGAACCAATATTAGAATCAATAGGCAAGCAGACTAACAATTCCAAGGAATGCCACTACTGGGAACTGTTCTCGATTCCCATCCCTACACCTAACTGAATGCTCCGAACCAGTAAACTGCCAAAAGTTCTGCTTTTAAACAGTCTGTGATGATCACAAAGTCAAAAGTGTATTTGATTATCAGATTATCACGTTGTCTTTTGCAGGACTGCAGAGAGTCCTGTGAGAACTTGGTAAGTACCTGTATGAGTTACTGGGGTCACAGTAGTCTCTCTCAATTGTCTCATTATCGGGCAAATCAGTCCACTGGACTCCATCTTGGACCTGCCATCGGTACGGCATCTTGTCATGAGCTTTAAAACATCGATCTAAGAAGAAAGAAGAAAGACAGCTGGTCAAAGTCAAGAAAGAACTACATTAAAGCCTCAAACACTTACTAACCATGACTTTCTCACCATCATGTTTGCAGTGACCTTTAATGAAGTACATGCAGATCCCTGTTTTATCTGAAAGAAACAGGAGATATTTCACAGGCTTCATTCAGACAGCAGTTTTAGTTCATCTGAAAACAGAAGTGTTTTCAGCTGGTGTTTACCTCTGACAGGCCTCTGTCTATTGTTCTGCCATTCTCCACCTTTAGCAGCTTCATCACTGACAGCAGCGTTAATGTTGCTTGATGAACGAGTTTTTGGTAGTGGTTGCTTATTGGTGCCCCTGTTGCCGCCTCTCCCTCTGACAGCTGCTTGACTTCTTCCATGACGGCGTCTCCGTCTTCGAGTCTCACCGTTTTCACTGCTCGCATCGTTGTCACTGGTGGCTGCGGAGATGTCACTGGTGGAAGAGTTTTCATCGTCGCTTTCATTCAGTCCATTACTGGTGTACAGATCGAAGATGTGAGTGCCAGCAAGCATCTCAGTAAGTGAGGAGGCTCGATCCTGCACTGGTCGGCTGCTCTGGTTTCCTCTGTTTCCCCTATTGCCCCTGCTGCCTGTCGCACCCCTACCACCTCTCCCTCTGCCTCTCCGCTGTTGTTGACCATTCTCAGCCAGCCTCAAAGCCTCTTTATTTGCATACACAGCCTTCAAGGATGGCAGAAGGGCACCAGGTACGCCTCTTTCTTGGACATTTTTTATGGGCTGTGGAGCAGTAAAATTGTGATTCCTCGAGCAGCTGCATTCACGGCTGATGTACTTCTGGCAGATGTGGAGCCTCCTGCAACCATCACCATCCTGACACCGGCCGAACTCTCCATCACCGTTGTTGTAGTCGTAGCATATCTGATGGAGACAGAACAAAATGAAAGGAAAGCGTGGTTATATACACGGACTGTAAGTAAAAGATGGAATACAATCACTGACTGTATGTAAATGATGGATATAAACATTGCAACATCCTGCTTTTTTTAACCAGTTTAAATTGATTTTACTCTAAATGCCACAATAAATTGTTCAAAACGTTTTCTTAGGTCTAGTATATCTTTGTCAAGTTTAAAGACGATCCATAAAAAATTGTGGGTAATATAAAGTTTTGACTGATTTTTTAGATGAGACTTTGACCGCGACCCAATTTTCATCTAAATTAAATCAGCTGTTATCATCACACAAAATCTGAAAAAGATATCGTGAAAACTGTGGACGGTACTGCAAACAAACAAACAAACGAAAGGAAATGATTATTTACCAATTACATTGCATGCGTTTTAAAACTTTTAATATACTTTTTGACATGTATAAAAAAGCTGATTTGCCACCAACGTGACAGAAAATGTGTTTTAAAATTGGAGAACAATACACATCTGGCAAACAACTTTACCTCTAAGTTTTAAGAACACCTCAATGACTGCCAATTTGTGAAGAATTACATATTATATTACACTGTGTGGGTGTCAGCTGTACTGTTTGTTATTGCTACAGTATCAACAAGCTGTTACAATTTAAATGAACATATCAGAATCAGATGTGAAAAGATGTTATGACAATGATGATGAGTTCAACCTAAAGTATTTCGTCAGGGTGCTTTTATCGTGTGTTAGGTTAAGACTCACAGCAGGAAGGAGTGTGTGGTCACTCTGCAGCAGCAGGGTGCACAGCTCCTCTCGGCTCAGGCTCTCCAGCTCATGCTGCCTCAGAAGTCTTTGGTTATGATCAGACGTCAGCTCATGGGAGAAGCTGCAGCCCCTCCTGTTGTAACAGAATCCACACAGCTGAGTCATGACTGTGACATGAGAAGGATTAGGGCCACACACAAACATGATAAGTGCTGCCAAACGTGGATTAATTCATCATTACACGTACACATGCTGTGTGTCTGTTTCCAAATTCAGCCCGATACCAATAAAAAATTCATTTTGACTGAGTGTCTGTCAACATATGTGTTCTTATATTTTTCCAAACCCGAGAATTTGTCATTGTAGCTGGCTTCAAAACCAGTTAATATGACGACAATAATAAACACTACTAATAATAATAAGCACTACGAATTATTTGACATTTTAGCCTCTTTAATGGTCCGTAACTTGGTTGTACACAAATACGACAATAAAAAGAAAGTTTTTATTGAGACTCAGAAGTCGGTACAAGGAAGCACAGAGAGGAACTTTTCCTATTAGCCTTTCGAGTCACATGATGATATTTGTTCAGGTTAGCTTTCCTAACAAATCTGCGTCAAACTGCTGAAAATGTCGAATTTTCCCAACAATACCTGAACGCACCGTCAGTGTCATATTCACTGACTGTAAACAGAGACACTAGTCAGGGCCTTTAACCCTGGAATATTTTGCAGCCACTTTCAGCATTACTAGAAAAGGCCTGGATGAACAGAGACGGTGGCTGTTTCACTCGGGCCATGACTCACCTTTCTTACTTTAAGTCCAGTATATTTACCTGAGCTGAGTGAACTGACAGAATCCGCTGAAGAGGAAGTTTTTGCACAGGTGCAGACCCCTGCACGTCCCCGGGCAGTCTTTCACTCTGCAAAGTCTCAGGCGGGTCCTGGCCACCACCTTCGGCTGTCCGTTTGGACAACAGGAAACAAATTTCTCTTGGTTACAAATGATCTCCGACAACTTCGTGGGATCTCCGGAAAACAGATTATACACTAAATCCTCCGTGTTGACTGCTCCTTGGCCGGCGCAGATCATTTTCAGTATTTCCGTCTCCATCGTGTCCGAGCTCTGCCTGCGTTAACTTCCACCTGGGAGACCAAACCGCAGCTTGACGACAGCGGCCGCTGGTTTCATGGGAGGAGGAAAACTTCGGTATCATTTCTGACGATTGGAAAGCGAAACTGAGCTATTTTTATCTTGGACTGATGCTGTAATGCTGCTGATGTCCACTTGGGGGCGTCCACGAAAGAATATAGGGAAGACATTTGTACTCGGCACACAGTGTAACATTAACACAGTAGAGCTGATTAGCAGAAAGCTCAAAGTCTGACTAAAGGAAGTCATAGCTATTACCTCCTGTTGTAGCTTTGCTCTCCTTTAAACCTTTGGGGTGAATTTTCGGGTCTTTAGCTGCTTAACTGTCCATCAGCTGCCAGGCTGTGTGTTTGCAGGTTAAATAGCTCATGCATGTCTGCCTGGGGTGGGGAGGGTGAACCTAAATACATGTGCTGCACAGCTGTGCACTAACAACAATCACAAGTCCAAAAATATCTTTGCTCTTCTTGTTTGCATAGCTGCTACACAGAACACAGTGAAAAACTGAGGTGATTCTCCAGTGGCACACCTGAACGACAGAACAATGTGAATATCAAGAGTATCATACCAACACTAATACTGGTAACGGATTGATACGAGCACAGGAGGATCGATATCTTGTTTTATCTTCTTCAAGTTCAATATGTAACCGACTGAACTGTGTTATTTATTTATTTTTGGAAATGAAAAAATGTGCCTCATACATGCACCGTGTTGACTGTCACGTCTATTTTATTTATAGCCCACAGCACATTTAAAAAGCAGAAGTTGACCCAAAATACTTTAGAGACAGGCGCCTTTACAATCCAGCTCGCCAACAAGCTCACTTTTTAAAATGCAAGAACAGCAGTTAGCTGTGTTTTGTTGTGTTAACTCATTATTGTTGGAAAGTAAAAATCACAGCAATTTAGTGATCATTAAAATGCGTCCAGAATTTGCAAACTGATGATGATTAAGTTAGAAGTAAGTATTCCTCATTAACTGAAGGTGTTGGAACGCCTGAGCAGAGGGAAAATATGAATGTTGTTATTGTAAATATTATTGTAATCTTTATTTGTTCTTTTTCAGGGTTTTTGAGGGCAAAAGAAGGTTTGTAAACCCACAGCTTATTGCTGAAGCTTGTTCGCCTTCATCTTTTTGCTCTTTAACAAATAAAGAGGGTTTTTTTGTTTTGCAGTTTTTTATCCTGCGACTGTGACTCCAAAAGGAAGTGCAGATCATCATATGTCCTGATGCAGACCATAATTTAGGCCACGTAAACCACAGTGGGCCATAATCAAGAACCACACCCGTGAACAGTCTCAATAACTCTTAAATAATTATTTATTTGAATGATTGCCAACATGCACACACACAAAAATCTGTTTTGATAGAACATTTCAGAAGAATAATAGCTTTAATAGTAGAACAGGTTTACAGTGAGCACATGTAAAGAATCTGGAGGCGCCATCGGCAAACTTTATGAAGCCTGAAACATCCTGTATGACTTTTTTGGGAGAGGGTGAGCCTTTGGAGGCATATCCTTGGAAGGTAACGCAGACTTCCACGTGTTAGTCAGCAGCTCTCATGACTGCTGTTTAAGGCATCAGGACCTCAAGCTATGCTCATGGAGTCTGTTCCTAACAGTTTCATCGGGAACATGCACATAAATATGCCATTCTGTAAGGCTTTGGCAGTGATCTTTCTATTACTTTCTGCATAAAGCAACAGATAGTGATCCTGCTGCTGGGTTGATGCCCTTCTATGGCCCTTTCAGGGTTTCCTCATGCACAGCCTGCCTGGCTGTAAGTACCCTCTCATACAGTGTCAAGAACAATAACAAAAAGCAAAACTAGTAGCATGGGGTATTTGTATTTTGTTATATCTGTTTCTAATCATTATAAATATATAACAGCTAATCCAAGTACTACTGACCAAGCGGGCTATGACTGCAAAAGAGCTAAAGAGAAAGGAAATACACACAATGTAACATTTAAACCATCTTCAAACAGAAATTAATTTTTTTTATCAACTGTTTTCTGCATTTACAGTCAGACTATGAACTAGAAAGACTGGCAAATGGAACGAGGTGCACTGTGCACAACAGGGCGAAGTGAACGTTTAACAACCACCACAGCATCACCTTTGTGCTGCACTAGAGCAGCGGTCCCCAACCCCCGGGCCATGGACCGGTACTGGCACATGAGTCGCTGGGTACGGGGCCGCGAGAGTTGAGGCTCGGTTGTGAAATTTATGTTTTTCATGGTTTTTATCGTTAACTCTGTTTCCCTGGGTCTTGTGTGTCTTATTTTGAAATAAATATTTACGCGTTACCATAGCGACCAGAGAGCATTAAGGGGCAGAGAGGAGGATGTTACTGTCAAGTGTTGTTGGCGCATTTCAGGAGGACGCTGCTAATAAAGTTACACAATTACACAGTGAAGTCACGTTTATTATTATATTTGTCTTGGTCGTATCATTTTATTCTCTTGTATTTATCCGCGACACCTTAAAAGCCGGTGTTCTGACAAACCATCCTACTTCCTAATTCCAGCACAAATGTAAGTAGGCATGACGGTTTGCCACTTAACTTTGCCCATCGGAGTATTCTTCTCGCTCATATTCACAAAGGTAGGACGGTTCGCCACTTAATTTCGTGTTGTGCGCATGTGTACAAACAACAGGTAGGATGGTTTGTCAGGTAGGATGGATTCCCGGAACACCGGTCTGTGAAAATATTGTCTGACATTAAACCGGTCCGTGGCGCAAAAAAGGTTGGGGACCGCTGGACTAGAAGGTCCATGTTTTTCGCTTTCCTTCTTCTCAAGCTTTTCCGAGCACAGTGAGTATCGCACACTGCTGCTGTTTGTTTCTATACGTGTTCCCAGACGTTGGTCCCTGCTTGCTGCTGACATTGCAAAGGTCATCTAAAACAGCAAAGCTATCATCAGGCACCAACACGCAGTCCGTCGTGTCTTGGACAAATCCTTACGAGAATCTGAGGCTCTAAACGCCTCCAACGTTATCCCTTTTTATTATTTGATATGTTTTAGGTACGACGCTTTCGCATGATAACCACTAAACATGGATGACGTATAAAACTTCCCGAGATAATCACGAGGAAAGCACTCAGGCTTTTCTTCTGATATGGTTAGCACGCTGCAGCATATCTATATTACTCGCATAAACCTGTCCTATGGGCGGTTTTTGCTAAGCCTGTATGCTTTGTCGAATTCTTCATTCTGTATTTATGTTGAGTATAACTAAATTCCTTCGCGTATGTTGAATGTCACAACCAGAGGTGGGACCAAGTCATTGTTTTGCAAGTCTCAAGTAAGTCTCAAGTCTTTATCCTCAAGTCTCAAGTCAAGTCTCAAGTAATGTCAGGCAAGTCAGAGTTGAGTCTCAAGTCACTGGTGTAAAAGTCCGAGTCAAGTCACAAGTCTTAAACTTTGAATTTCAAGTCCTTTCGAGTCTTTAAAAAAAAAACAAACGAAAAAAAGCATGTTGCAGTTATATGCTAAATGTAAATATTAGACCATGTAATTTTAAAATCTGTGTTTTTCTCAACACATGACAAAATAGTGAACTTAGAAAATATACACAAATTGTGAAATTGCACCTCTTTAAAATGCAGCTCAATTAAACCTAGCTCCAAGAATAATTTTCACCGACAGTTCTGAGATAAGCTGCATGTTATTCTTGGATGCGGTTGTAGGACTGGCTTTAAAATCGCATGACAAAAATATCATACACATTAAAAAAAACTGCATCACCAACGTAGCCTGGACAACATTTGCTAGTTAGATGAAGTCAGCTATCTCATCGTAGCATATTTATATGCATATTTATAATCATACGGTTCTTGGAGTGAGTGCATACACTCATGAAGTTTAGTAACTTCAGGTCACTGCAACAAGCCCAGGTACAGTTTACCGACAGATGGGTGCAGGACCTTGAAATGCACCGTGTAGAACGAAAGACCATCGTACGTATCATAAGTTTACCAGTCTCACAAATCCTCGTCATAAATACACATTCGTTAACCGTTTATTAATAGGACCTTTGAGCTCAACGGTAATTAATTAGTAGTGGAAATAATTTCTGGTAGCATCACAGAAATGTAGCAGTGACAACAATATTGTATGCTGTAATCGTACTGGGCAATTAGTGATACAAAAAACCTGTTTTATCCTGTGAATAAAAGTATATGTTTTTGTCAATGTACCATAATAACAGAAGCGAAACGCAATGTTGTGTCAGGACAATTCACTATTTATGCACAATAAATAAAGGAGCATAGCGCGACAATTTCTGTTCAGCGCCAGACTTGCTTGTAACCTATATCACCAATTATGTTATGAAAATGACGCATTAACTACAACAGCAGACTGACCTTCGTGTAAATGCTTGGAGCAGACTAACCTGTGAGCTGGAGTGTTCTGGGACGTTATATTTGATCTTTGAATGGCTGCAATCCAGGCCATCCGTCGCGTCTTTGTTACTTCGGAAACATGGCTCGAACAATTTCTCTTCAACGACGTAATCCGATAACAACCGATCTCTTTACCCGTCGGCTTCCCGTGGCTGTCATGCGACCGGCTATTGCAGTTAATAATACAACAGCTTCTTGACATTTTTGTGTTTCTTTTTATCGCTGTATAACTGATTTTAATTGAAAGCCTGCGTGCGCTAGTACCGCTTGCCACGAGTTCCCAGAATCCTTTGCGGTTCTACCCGTGAATGACGTCACATTTTCAATCTCTATATAATATGCATGTTAAATTTTATATTTGGGGTAAAATATCAAGTCTTTTCAAGTAAACCGGTTCAAGTCCAATTCAAGTCCCAAGTCATTGGTGTAAAAGTCCAAGTCAAGTCACAAGTCTTAGAACATTTTTTCAAGTCAAGTCTAAAGTCATAAAATTAATGACTCGAGTCTGACTCGAGTCCAAGTCATGTGACTCGAGTCCACACCTCTGGTCACAACAACAACAAATGGAGACATCATCGCATTGTCAGGGTGATAAATATGAAAACTTAAAGACATGGCTTAAAATAGATGTTAATAACTGCAATGTTATTAAAAAACTTTTCTTTAGATTGGCCCACCATTAAGGAGATACATACAGATATATGCTAAGATCATTAGCGATACAAAATGTCATTATTACATTTTGTATAAAAGTTAGTGTCATTTCTATAAAAAACACCTCAGCAAATGGGATTGTGCCAGCCTGGTTTTATGTGCATCTTTTGCACATAAAAGATGCAAAAGATGCACATATGTCTTCATGTGCAACATGAAGACAGACTGACTGGAAATGTTTGTGATTTGTGGAAATTTGTCTTCTTTTAAAAATCACTTTGCATTTGGTCGAGTTGAAAAAGATTGAGCATCGAAACAAACAAAAGAAACTTGCTTATTCAGCATTTTCATCATTAAACCTAATTAAACCTAAAATAGCAACTGACTGGGAAGCTAGTTTTACCAAGTATTTCCCAGGACAATTCACACATTTTTACCAACATTGCTAAATGCTTAATGGTAAACATGTGGTTCTCATATCTCTTTTCTACTCTGAGTACTCAAAGTTACATTTGTCTCACTATCAGCACATGAAAGAAACTGTGCTGGGTTGGTAAGCTGATAGGGTAGCTGGTTTCTTTCACCAGTACACTGTCTAATTGTACTGTATCAGGTACTCGGGGTAGATCTGGTGCTTCTCAAACACCACAAATATGGTGGGGTCCATTTCATCGTCTACACAGCTGTCATAGAGGTTTATGCCCCCTCCGTCTTTTGAAGGAGGTTGGCAATAATCGGAGGACCCTTTGGTGTAGTCTCCCACCAGCACCCGTGAGATGAACATGGCTCGGACGTCAGCGTCACCGGTGAAGTCGTGGGAGTATTTGGCATCGCGGGCAAAGTAACTGCCTGTGTTTAGACACCAAAAGGTACAATTGTGAAAAAATGTATTTGTGGGGAAGGAAACTGGTAAACATGCAGAGGTGATTACACGGTGAAAAATCAATGTTTTCCATAAGAATAACTCCACAGGACTCACGGTGTCACAAAGATGAGCGTGGCTGGAGTCTTTGCTTTTTAAATCTATGCTGAACATGTGCTGAATAACCAATAACTATTTCAGCACGAACATTTCTTCCACTCACCTTTGCCATAAGCCATTCCATGAGTTCTGCAGTCGAAGTTGTTGTGGCAGATGGTGTTTACAGATTTGGAGTCGATGCCATGAAAAAGCCTTAGTTCAGGCACATCTCTCCCTCGGTTTTTGGTCCTCATCTGATTCTTCTGCCTTGAAAAAGGAGACAGGGAACAAATTAAAGCAAGCTGTAAGAGTGTGAATCATGGTCTTGTGTCTTTGAGCCTGTGTTTTAAGTTTTTTTATGCTTTGAGTTTTCTGTGAGCTCATGATTTGTTCTTTTGGATGTTGAGACGCAGTTTATGTTCTAGCTCTGTATTCACTCCTTTCAATATATTATTGTTTCACATTGCTTCTGTGTTCGTCATTAGGTTATGTAATCTTTAGTCATCATCTTTTATGACCCTGTCCCGTCTCCCCAGTCAGTCACGTCTCCATGTTCCCGTCACTGTGTCAAGTTCACATGTCTTAGTCTGTGTCTTTGTGGTCTGAGTCTCCCTTTGTTCTCATGGTTGTGTTCTCCTCCACAGTATATTTTACTACATATAATATCCCCATAGGTCACATTATATCTGGAAGAAAACAAGCCATGAAATTTTGGGAAGTCTTTGTAGATCTCCAAGGTAACACTGGGTAACGGTCTAGATCCAGGCAAGGATATAAAGAAAAAGTAGAGAAAAGGTCAGAAAGTGTGCATGCTAATAGTAGACATTGAATAAAAGATGGACCAAGCCTGTGGCTCTGAAAAGCAACACCACTGTGGGCAGCTTAAATCTCTATATTCAGGGGGCAGCAGGGGGCAAAAAACTGAAAAAGTGGTCAGTTTATTGAAATGCATGAAAAAAGATCTTCTTAGTACGTTTATGACTTCTTTAAATATTTTCCTATTGGGTTGATTTTCTCCATTAATAGTTTAAAGTCTACTTTAATACAACATGAGTTTCGTAAATGATGCTGTTACTTTATCAGACAGGGGTGGCTACTTGCACAGATACAATAACCTGGTTAGAATCTATCGTAGACACAAGCTGTCAGCCAAATTTAACAAGCGGCTGATGCATGGATATTAACTGGATGTCGGTACGTACAACTGAAAGGCCGCCCAAAGACTTTGGTTCTGAATTCTCTCAATGTTGATGATATCAAAGCCTCTCATGGTTTTACAGAAAAGAGCTTCAACCTCCTTAAATTCTCTTGAGCTGCTCTGGAGGGAGATTTGCTGTAAGAAAACAGAGAAACATAGAAAATGTTCAGTCACAATAACATTGAACAAAAACAAGCTGTAATCACAATTTTAAAACACCATCATCAAACACAGAAACAGAAAGAATTATTAACTTTTTCTTTTACTTTGGCTTCTAAACAACACTTTTTTTCAACACTTGCTGAAGGAAATATTTGGTTTTTTTGCTGAATACTTTATTATGTTCCATTTAGCTAACATAGCATCTTTGCTGGCTGAAGAAACAGATAATCAGGCTGTGCTGATGTAAAACAACAAAACAATGAAATGAAAAAAGAAACAGCAGATATCTAGCAATACTGAAATCATTGACTGTCTTTTTTTTGAAAATTAAAAATACAAAATCTTATATCAGAATAAACTGAGGCATCGAGTTTTCAGCAGCCGTACTAAAGAAAGTTGACTCCTAAAATCTGCAAACATGTGAAAAACAACCTCAGCTATCTGGTACTAATTATCCCATTTTGTTAAAAATTACACTGCAAACAATAAGAAATAATAGATTACAATTACTCAATGATGTTTACATTTAGAAATGACTGTGAGCTAAACCAACAGAGGAAAATTATATTTTTTACATTTGTTGGTTTTCACAGTACCGAATATCCTGTTTCAGGGATCTGTGTCTTGTCCCAGTTGTCCGGTACTGGGCCAACATTTTGAACCACAGGCCTTCTGCAAACAGAAATGATAAGGAAAGCTTTCATTATTGTTCGTTTTAAAACCCCAAAACACATTTATAGTTATATCAGTACTGAAATTAATTAAAATTAAAATCGTCATTTTCCCCATTAAAAGCCGTAATAACAATAGTACGATTTTTTACTGGATTTTTAAAAAGATTATTATTATTATTATTATTGCAAATTCATCAGAAAAACTACCAACAAAAACTTAACAATTCAGATTTATGTCTGAGGCTGCAATTTTTGGATTGCAATGATTTGTTTCACATTAGAGCACAGAGAACATGTGGAATGTTTAAACTGGAAAAACTGCACCATCATAACAAAAACGTTCATGTGTAGCATCCCCTTTTCTAACAACAGTCCACAAATGTCTGTGAACTGAGACCAGTTGCGAGAGAGAGATGCTCAACATTCCTATTTTTAATGCAGTGCCACTTGAGTGCTCAAAGATCTCATCAACTAGTGATTTTTGGCCTGAGATTGTTCCAAGTAAAGTCTTTGTAGATCTCCAAGGTAATACTGTGGTAAGGTCTAGATACAGGAAAAGGAAAGTATATAAAACCATATCTAGAGCTTTGATTGTCTCAATGAGAAGAGTAAACCGAACAAGAACATGAATTCTCCTCCCCAATTAGAATGAACTTCTCAGATGTAAGAACACCGCAGAGAATAAGCTGCTCTTGGGATGACGTACCTGACTTTCTTTGTTCGGACGTCTACAGCAGAGACAAACCGTGGCCGTCTGCACACGAGCGTCTTCGTGCCATTAAGGTTGTTTGTCTGCATCATGTCTGACGGGTAAGAAAAAAAACATAAATAAAAGTTTAAACTTGTGCAATGATTATGACACCACTTTTAAAACACAGAAATCAGCGATCAGATACAGTTTCCATATTCTTTGTTTACCATCGAAACTGAGTGAATACGAGTGTGAACCAGCAGTAAACTCCACAACGTCTTTATTATTGCCCAGGAACAACTTCTCCAGCTTTGTGCTGTTGATGTCTGCTGCTTCATGTCCATCAATCTGCAAAGTAAGAAAGGCGAGCAGGTCTTTAAACGCATAACAAACAGGAATTGCCATATGAACAATAAATCGTTGGGAAGCAAAAGAATATTGTCTAAAGAGCTTGTAATATTATAAAGATCTCAAGGTAGAAATTCCCAAGTTAGCATAGCCACAATTATGAAAACAGTAACATTTGATTTGGCAGAGTCGTCATGCTGGACGTCCTTCCTCACCGAGCTCAGCATGGCTTTGAACTTTTGAACCCCTGACACCAGATTTGTGTTTTGGTATCAAACTAGGGATCTTTTGCATGTTAGGTATATGTGTTAACGACCACAGCTGGAGCCTTAAGATTTTTGAAATTTGATCTTAGGTTGCAGACATTTTATATGAAAATGGAAGAAAAGCAAAGCATGGTGCATTCATTTGGTTGGTAGCATGTAATTCTTCCTCTTTCCTATAAATCAAAGGTAAGTGACTGCTTATTTTAGTATTAAAAATCTCAACAATTCAGAATATGAGATGAGATATGAGAGGAATACATTTGGTAGGTAAAAGAAAAAGATTAAGAGATGAGCTGTAAATAAGAGAATAGAGCAAGTAAAACATTAACCATGAAACAAATAAATCAGGATATAAAGAAGGCCAAAATAAAAAAAACTAAAAAAGCACGCTGGGCCACAGCCAGTGTAACTCAAACTGCTGAGAAATATCATGATCTTAATTTAGTTTAAGAGTAAATCTCTGCCAGCTTCACTTCTTTCTCCTTTGTGTGCATCATTTATTGCAGTTTACATGTAGTATTAACTGCAGCAGTAGGTGCCATTGATAATGTGACTGAGACAGATGTACAGTGGCACAGATCAGCTCCACCTGCTCTTCATGCTGAGGCACGCCGGATATAAAACTCTGACCTGCTGCAGCTATTTTTCCATGTTTGTTCACTGTTTCACAAACATATCAGTCAGGAACTACTTCACCCGTACACCCCTCCTAAGACGTGGAGTTATTCATGGCAAAGACTTTAACCTTTGGTTTGTTAAACGATGTTTAACAAACAGACTACTGTAATTCATTATGATCAGGATGTCCAAAAAACTCGCTGAAAAGCCTTCAGCTAATCCAAAATGCTGCAGGAAGAGTCCTGACAGGGACTAGAAAGAGAGAGCAGATTTCTCCTGTTTTGGCTTCCCTTCATTGGCTTCCTGTTAAATCCAGAATTGAATTCAAAATCCTGCTCCTCACATACAAGGTCTTAAATAATCAGGTCCCATCTTATCCTAATGACCTTGTAGTACCATATCACCCTATTAGAGCAGTTCGCTCTCGCTCTGCAGGCCTACTTGTTGTTCCTAGAGTATTTAAAAGTAGAATGGGAGGCAGAGCCTTCAGTTTTCAGGCCCCTCTTCTGTGGAACCAGCTTCCAGTTTGGATTCAGGAGACAGACACTATCTCTACTTTCAAGATTAGGCTTCAAACTTTCCTTTTTGCTAAAGCATATAGTTAGGGCTGGACCAGGTGACCCTGAATCCTCCCTTAGTTATGCTGCAATAGGTGTAGGCTGCCGGGGGATTCCCATGATGCATTGAGTTTTTCCTTTCCAGTCACCTTTCTCACTCACTATGTGTTAACAGACCTCTCTGCATTGAATCATATCTGTTATTAACCTCTGTCTCTCTTCCACAGCATGTCTTTATCCTGTCTTCCTTCTCTCACCCCAACCGGTCGCAGCAGATGGCCCCGCCCCTCCCTGAGCCTGGTTCTTCCGGAGGTTTCTTCCTGTTAAAAGGGAGTTTTTCCGTCCCACTGTCGCCAAAGTGCTTGCTCGTAGGGGGTCATATGATTGTTGGGTTTTTCTCTGTATCTATGAAGCGCCTTGAGGCGACTTTTTGTGTGATTTGGACTATATAAATAAAATTGAATTGAATTAAAAAGATCAGAAAGTGTAAGCTCTGAATGGCTGCAACGTCAAACTTAAATGGTAGTGGAAAATTATTTACTTTAACCTTCTAAGACCTGAACTCTTCCACAGCAGCATTTTTATTTTCTCTTTGATATTTGGGCTGATTGGGTCCTGATAAATGTAAAAACAAAGAATTACCAGATTTTTTTGTTTTTACCTAATTTTTGTTTCTAAGAAAAATAAGAGCCACATATGAGGATATTCATTTAAAATTTCGATAGAACAGAAGCAGTATAATGTCCTCGTAAGTGGATCTCAGGCCCTTGTAGAGCAAAATTGAGTATTTTGATCTAACTAACCCAAAATGTGATGTCCACATATGTGGACGCCAGGTCCTAGGAGGTTAATACAGTTTCCATAAAACAACAGAGCTATACTAAAATTTAAGTGAGTAATGATGTTTATACTACAAGATGATGTCAGTCTGTTTTGTTGTCATTGTGATGTTGTGCATCGTATTGACAAAATAAAGTGTGTTACACCGCTCTACCATCACACAAAAAGTTGAAGCTGTGGACACTGGGCTGCTAGCAAACAGACGAACAAACAGAACCCATCACTTACTCGCTCCCTTCAGCAGAGAATGAAAAACAGCAAATGCTCTTACGTAATAAATGTGACAGTATGAGCTTTTGGATTTAGCAACAAACTCTTGCTGATATGTTAAATGTGTCAGAGTTTTTTATTTGCATGTCCACAAAACTAGCATGCATTTGGAGTCTTGTTTAAAGTTTCTTGACAAAATTAATGTAGCTCTGTTCTCCAAATGTGGTCGTGTTCAGTTTTAAAAAGTAAAACAAAAACACAACAACGGTGAAAATGAGGCTTTGAAATGCAATCGACAAACTAATGGGTGACGCAAAGACGACTGTCTTCACTGTTTATCAAAGAGTGCAAACAACCTTTTTAGTAAACAGTCAGTTACACATTTTATATGTTTGTACAGCGGTCTGTTAGAGTTATGTCCTAATATTGTCTTTTTCTTAACAAGATAAAAATTTAAAATACGATAACAATAATGTCGTTACTCACAGCAGATGCAAACATGTTCCACCTCCCAAACTCATCCTGCCAGTACCAAAGCCACTCGGTGGTGTGGATGAAGGTCGGCTCAGTCACCGAGTTTTCTGTCGAGAGCCGACGTACCTGCTTCAGTCCGCAGGTCATCGTGTCAAAGTGCACGGCTGGGCTGGTGCTACTGCAGACACACAATTAAAACAAAATGAATCCACTGCTAGCTGTGTACTGCGTGTGTGTCATTTGAAAACACAGCATTAAGACATTTCTTGTAGTTGGTCATCAGGTTTGCACACATCAGCGAGGGATCTTAGACCACTCCTTTTTACAGAAACTCTTTAAACCCTTCAGGTTCTTGGGTTCCACTGAACAACTCAAAGCTTCAGCTCCCTCCACAGATTTTCTATAGGACAGGTCTGGAGACTGTCTGGGCCACTCCATGACCTTTGCTCTTCTTTAGCCACTTCTTTGTTGACTTGGTATGTTTTGGGTCACTGCCATGCTGGAAAATCTGTCCACTCAGTGGTCACGCTGCGGGAGGGAAGTTCTCTTCAAGATTGTACGGTGCATGGCCCTGTCCATTTAGGATGGGAATTGATAAGAATTTAGCGATTCCGATTAAATGATTGATATCAATTATCAATTCTTCATGGCTTTCACTGGCTCTGCTTTGAGTCGCCACCATCTCTAAGCAGCATAGCAAAGACATTACATTCATGGAAGTTAATTACATGCTGTGTGGTCAAATGTTTGTGCATGTTGGAGGGATTTCCCATCCTTCTTGTGTTTTGTGGTCATTACTGAAAAATGTAAAAATGTATTACACAAATTACACAAAACCCCCTTTTTTTAAAATAATGCAGTACATACTGTAACTACTTGTTACATTACTCTTTACATTACCTAAAATACTAAAACACACTGTCATAATAACCAGTTAATAGTATAATAGTACAAACCTTAGGCTACAGTCCAGCACACCAACACAAATCATGACGACACAAGGACACACATATGATCCTAGTCATAGTATTTAGGTGTCAACAAAAAGCTGCCAACACAGAGCAAAGATGAAAACCAGCACAAAGAGCGATCGCCATGGTGATTCTACTTTAGAAACATGAACAGGTAGAAAGAGAGTCTGCAGCCTGACTGCTCATCAGTTTGTTACTTGTTGAAGTTCAGGCTCTGGCTGATGGGCTGCGGCTTTAACATTACTTTGGGTTCTTGGCTGGCTTAGTATTAGCATGCTCTCTGTGCAAAGAGCCAAAGTTGTGTTACCACCATAGTGCAGCTGTTTCTGTCCTAGATGCAGTTTCCACTTTACCATCACACTCTTGTCTGTTTTTTTGTGCAATAAGAATAAAAGGACAGTCCATATCCAGGCTATAGACTGTGCCACTATTTTCCTCCTCCAACAAACTGAAATCAGCTGATTTGGACAACAGGGAACTGGTTCTCTACAAGAACTGGATCCTGATTCTCAAACCTACTGCCCATTAGAACCTCATTCTGGGGAACTCATTCTGAACGCTTAGCAGAAAACAGCGCTTGACTGTGGTAAAAGTGTTCTTTAGCTCATATTCAGCATTTCTCTTCTGCCAAACATGGTGGCCAAAGAGATCGACTGACTGACCACAACACTTTCTCCCAAGCCTTCTCTCAATCATGAAGATGTTCACTTGAGCAGGTGGACCTTAAGGTTGCAGCAAGATTTCTATCTATTCTGCTTTAAACGCAGTTGAGATCAGGAGTAATGATAATGGTAATTTGTTGGAAATTCATGTCAACTCAATGTGCTTAACACTGAACATAAAAACATAAAAACCTGGTCACCAAACCGCAACCACCACACTCCACACAGCTTCCCGTGACACTGGGGGAGACAGAGTTCTGTCTGCATGTCAGAGATCAAATCCTTATTTCACTCAGCGACATGCAGGTCAAAGAACTTTTCTGTGATATGTTGATATTCTATCTGCTTCCATCAAAATAAGTAACTAACATAAAACTACCATAAAATTGTGTTCATTTCACTTTAAGTGAGCAAACTTACAAATTCAGCAAAGAATCAAATATTTTATTTTAATATTTATCCAAAGCGTTGCGCCTGAAACCGCCGTATTGTAGCGTCCCTCCAACAGGAGACAGAGACGGTCAGGATTCCGTGTACCAGCTGTTCATTAGGAACAGTAACACAGTCGGCTGTGGGCTGTAGACAACGCCAAAACAAAGAGAGCGCTCCCTGAAGAACAAAAACAATCCCTCTGTCTCCTCTTGAACTTGTGCTACATTTCCCCACCCCCCACACACACACACACACACACACACACACACACACACACACACACACACGCGCTCCATAACTCCCACCCCCATACATACACTCTCAGCCAACCACAAGCATGTTCTCCTACAGACTCTCTGTCACAGGTGTTTGATATGATCGACAGGCTTAACAGCCTCTAGATTATTACACCTTCAAGGACACTCAGTAAATCACATCATTGCACGTGTGGAGCAAGTCCATCATAGCTGTGTGACAAATCTGAACACAATAACGCTGATGACACAACGATCAGATTAACTTGCAATCCAGTTTGTTACATACTAACATCACAGAGAGCCAGCGCTTCCTAAAACCAAAGCTTTCTGAAGCATTTTACCTTCAAAAAATCTGGAAACGCCCAAACCTTTTATCTAAAATTGAGATGTCTGAGTTGCAGAATAAATGTAAGTACCTGTATGAGTTACTGGGGTCACAGTAGTCTCTCTCAATTGTCTCATTATCGGGCAAATCAGTCCACTGGTGTCCCTCTTGGACCTGCCATCGGTACGGCATCTTGTCATGAGCTTTAAAACATCGATCTAAGAAGAAAGAAGAAAGACAGCTGGTCAAAGTCAAGAAAGAACTACATTAACGCCTCAAACACTTACTAACCATGACTTTCTCACCTTGATGTTTGCAGTGACCTTTGATAAAGTACATGCAGATCCCTGTTTTATCTGAAAGAAACAGGAGATATTTCACAGGCTTCATTCAGACAGCAGCTTTAGTTCATCTCCCCACAGAAGTGTTTTCAGCCGTTGTTTACCTCTGACAGGGCTCTGTCTATTGTTCTGCCATCCGCCGCCTCTAGCAGCTACATCACTGACAGCAGCACGAATGTCACTTAAGGAACGAGTATTTTGAAAAAGCCGATGGTTGCCCCTGTTGCCGCCTCTCCCTCTAAAAGGCACAGCAGCTTTTTTTGGACGCCATGTCCGGTTTTGGCTTACATCATTTTCGCTGCTCGCATCGTTGTCGCTAGTGGCGGCAGAGATGTCACTAGTGGGAGAGTTTTCATCGTCGCTTTCATTCAGTCCATCGCTGGAGTACAGGTCAAAGGCGTCAATGTTTGCAGCAATGTCACTAAGTGAACAGGCCTGATCCTGCACCGGGCGGCTGCTGTGGCTTCCTCTGTTCCCCCTAAAGCCACTGTTGCCCCAAGTATCTCTCCAACCTCTGCTGAGCTGATGGCCACCTCTGCCTCTCTGACTTCGTTGACCATGGTCACTGACTCGAGCCACCTTCAAAGCTTGTTTATTTGCATAAGTAGCCTTCAAGGATTGAAAGAGTGTGTCAGGTACGCCTCTAGCTTGCAAAGCTCTGAATGGCTGTGGAGCATTAAAATCGTGGTTCTTCCAGCAGCTGCATTCACGGCTGATGTAGGTCTCACAGATGTGGAGCCTCTTGCAACCATCACCATCCTGACACCTGCCAAACAGTCCAACACCGTTGTTGTAGTCGTGGCATATCTGGAGATATGGAGAGAGGAAAAGATGAAAAGTGAAGGTTATAATCACAGACTGTAAATCAAACCTGGATTATAATCATATATTCTACATAAACGATAGATAGAACTGTCTGACATTCCTGTTTGATTTGTTGTTGTTTGTTTTGTTTTGACTTTAAAAAGGCACTGTACATGTAAGCTGTATAAATAAGTAAGACAGGAAAGACTGAGAGCATAAGCTTGATTTGAATCAGTTTAGGTCATTTTGTCATAAACTTCTAAAAAACAGGTAAATTCAAGGAGAGATGCAACCATTTGAATCTCCCCCTGCTGGGCATTAAACAAAATGCAGGCATTTAAAGAACTTTCATTTAACACAGTGGTTCCCAAACTTTTTTTTGCTAGCCCCTCCCCTTCGTCTTACAAGAAAACGAAATTCGTCACGCAACGTCAAACGTATGTGCCTTTTGTCACGTCACGCCGTGCGCCACGTTAATGGCTGTATCCCAATTCAGTGTCTGCAGCCTTAAAGTACGCAGCCTCAACGATCCTCAAGGGCCGCGTACTCAAAGACCGCTAAGGCCGGAAGTGCGAGGCTTGTGAAATGGGACGGTCTAGCCTCCGTTGCGCTGCCCAGGTTGCCTAGCAACCATGATACTAACAGCTGGAAACGTGTCATACAGCTGTGTTTGACAGAAATGAAGGAGAAAATCTTTTGTTCATTTGTTTGTTTCCACATGAGCTTTGATCATTCTCTGTAAGATTAAGCTCAGCTATTGAACGGCGTATATTTTAAAGTAAAGGCTTTAAAACCAAGTTAGCACAAACGTCACTAATGTCACATAACTTTGCCGACATGTGACCAACAGTAATGTTTTAATGTTCTTCGTTATTAAACATTTGCACATAAATAAGTGACATAATATTCATTACTTACTTAAAGTTTACTCTTCAGGCGCCCTTCACCCACCGTTTTTTTTTTTGCAAAATTATCCACACCCACCGCCGCGCTATGCATTCTGGGATAATTGGGCCACGAAGTCTACACCGCCACAGCCTTAAAATTCAGGGAAATGAAGGACGCATTTCAGGGCCGCATTTCGAGCAGCCTTTGAATTGGGACAGCCTTCGTCGCATCGCGGTGACGTAATCTGCCTTGAAATGCGGCCTTTAAGGCTGCAGACCCTGAATTGGGATACAGCCATCGTTTACATTAGATCAATCTCTACAATGGCGGATAGAGACAAAATACTGTTAATATGACTATCTGCAGTTTTTACACGCTTACATTTACACACACAGTTGCTGTCCCTCCGTTTAGAAAGGCAGAGACGTCAATGGTGTAATTATTTTACATTTTTTCTCAATAGCTATATTTTTCAAAAAAAAAACAAAACATTTTTAAAGAAAAACACTTTCAATTCATTTAAAAACAAAAGTAACATGTTAGTGGAAACAGCGGGTGTGGCATTGTGTCGTAGGAATGCAAACTAGACTGACTCGTCCGGTTCATGCTGTGTGTTGTTAGACTTACATCAGGAAGAACTGTGTGGTCACTCTGCAGCAGCAGGGTGCACAGCTCCTCTCGGCTCAGGCTCTCCAGCTCATGCTGCCTCAGAAGTCTTTGGTTATGCTCAGACGTCAGCTCATGGGAGAAGCTGCAGCCCCTCCTGTTGTAACAGAATCCACACAGCTGAGTCATGACGGTAAGTACTCAGTAAAAGAAAAGAAAAAACCCCAAAACAATAATGACAACAACAAAAAAGCTGTCATGTACGTCATGGGTTATCTTTCTGGTAGAAAGTCCGTTTGCAAGTCAAAAGACGACGCGATAACTCATGGACAGAATTATATGAAAGTCAAGTTCAGCGTTTTGGGAAAAATGTTTTAGCAGGATTCGCCCAATAATAGGTTTGATGTACAGCTGGGTAGAGCCAGCATCCGTTTAACTTCGAAGACTCAGACAATAAGCTGTTTATTTACTTTAAGTCCAGCATGTTTACCTGAGCTGAGTGAACTGACAGAATCCGCTGAAGAGGAAGTTTTTACACAGGTGCAGACCCCTGCACGTCCCCGGGCAGTCTTTGGCTCTGCAAAGTCTCAGGCGGGTCCTGGCCACCACCTTCGGCTGTCCGTTTGGACAACACCGAGCAAATTTCTCTCGGTTACAAATGATCTCCGACACCTTCGTGGGATCTCCGGAAAATAGATTATACACTAAATCCTCCGTGTTGACTGCTCCTTGGCCGGCGCAGATCATTTTCAGTATTTCCGTCTCCATCGTGTCCGAGCTCTGCCTGCGGTAACTTCCACCTGTGAGACCAAACCGCAGCTTGACAGCGGCCGCTGGTTTCATGGGAGGAGGAAATCTTCGGTATCATTTCTGACGATTGGAAAGCGAAACTGAACTATTTTTATCTTGGACTGATGCTGTAATGCTGCTGATGTCCACTTGGGGGCGTCACCGCGCTGTATGACCTCCATAGACCTCGACTGAAAATGAAAAGAAGGGCTTACTTTTGCTTCACAGCTGAAACATGTCCAGTAATGAAAACACATGGCGTCACAATGCGTCTATGGCTCTGTGGATGTGTCGTTGCGCAACAGCCCATCTCCTGTATACTACTGCACAGACTGTGCTGGGCTATAGAGCAAACTCTTATGACAGCTCGTATGGATGGGCCATTGCGAAGGAACTGGATTAACTGTATTTTTAATTAATTACTTAATTAATTAAGTTACTAATTACTTCTCCAAAAAAAGAAATCACTTTACTTTACTGATTACTAATTTTCAAAAGTAATTAGTTACTTTATTACTTAGTTACTTTTAAAAAACATATGCAACCTGAATACATTATAAAGTACTATTGCTTTATAACGTATTCAGGTATCAGCCAAAGTCTATTTTTTCTGCATAATCCATCACATAAAATTGAATCAAATGAAAAAGTATCTTTTAAAACTTAGTATTAGTTTTAATCATGCAGAGTGTACAGCGGATGACAATGTTTTTACAGAATCAAAGTAATGTGAGTACTTCCAACGCTGCATGGTCGCACTCTCTCCCGAGCTCCATAGTATCCGTTGATCTACACACGTCTGCTGCTGCCACAGACGTCGCGCGCTCGTATGTCACTCTCACAAATAAAATCACGGTTCAGTAACGCAGTAGCGCTTACAGGAAAGTAGCAGTAATCTAATTTCTCTTTTGCAATAGTAATATTGTACTTCACTTAAAAATTGGAAAAAAGTAATCAGATTACAGTAGTTACTTGCAACGCGTTACTGCTCATCCCTGGTCACCTGTAGGTTATTATTATAGCTTCTAACAAACTGACAGGCTAATATTTTGCCCTCATATCAAGTTTTAAGGAAACTTCCATGTGTTTGACTCCAACAGCAGCAGCGTGCGCTCATCAGTGCACAACAGGGCGAAGTGTGAAAGATGAACAACTACCACAGTATCGTCTTTGTGCTCAGCGTTTATTGTTTTCTTTCTTTCTCTCTTTTTTTTTTTACATGTTTTTCCAAACACAGAGAAGTGAGTGTCACACACATCGCAGCCCTTTGTTTCTATCTGTGCTCCAAGAAGTTGGTCCCAGCTTCCTGTTGACATCACAAAGGTTGTCTAAACAGCAAAGTTATCAACACACAGGCCGTCATGTGTCTCAGCCAATCTGACAGTGTCTTAATACAGTAGGACACGCTAATATGACAACCACTAACTACCTGAGATAATTACGTGAAAAGCAATCAGGTGTTTCTTCTAGCTCAGCGTGCTTATGTGATATTAGCGTTGTGCTGCTATTTCTGAGTTATTCTGTATAAAAGTTATTTCAAAGTTTAATTTAAACATAATGAGTGGAAAAGCTGTCAAGTTTTAGAAATTCACCTTAAATAATTTTACAGTACATGTGATTTAGGTGGAAAAGTTTGAGCATCAAAACAACAAAGAGAAAAAACAAACGAGAAATTTGAAAATGGAAAGAGAAAGTATGAAACATTTAACATTTCTGAAGCTTTCTTTAGAAACCTGCATCACCTCTAATCTACATGTTCAGCATGTCTGTCAAAGTTTCTTCATCATTCATATTAAACCTAAAATACTTTAATAGAATCTAACTGGGAAGCTGGTGCTACCAACTCTTTTTCTGGAGCACAGTTCACAAATCATAACTCACATTTTCAGGTACCACTTCTGGAAAATCTTTTTACTAACTCAGCTACATTTTCAGAAAAGTCTAACAATTCCCTTGGAGATAGTGTGGGAAATGGAGTTGATGGTGTGGGTTTGTTGACTGTTCCACTGGTTGAGTCCATGGAAGAAGCTGTGCTGGGAAGGTGCCGTGCAGTGGTTTGACTTAAGATGGTATTTAGTTTGTGTACTACCGATGGCGTCTGTACTACTGCTGCGGTGGGTAATACCAGTGGTTTCCCTACTGCCACGTGTCTTGGTACCACCACAGATTGCTGTGCTAGTCTCGACCCTGATACTCGCTTTGGTACTGTGCCATCAATAAACATGTTTGTGGTCTTGTACTGGATCAGGTACTCGGGGTAAATCTGCTGCTTCTCAAACACCACATATATGGAGGGGTTCATTACATCATTCACACAGCTGTCATAGAAGTTTATGCCCCCTCCATCCTTGGAGGGAGGTCGGCGATAATCAGAGGACCCTATGGTGAAGTCTCCCACCAGCACCCGTGAGATGAACATGGCTCTCACATCAGTGTCACCGGTGTAGTTGTGGGAGTATCTGGCATCACGGGCAAAGTAACTACCTGTGTTTAGACACCAAAAAAGACGACTGTGAAAAAAATGCATTTGTGGGGAAAGACAGCAGGAACCCTAGTGTCACAAAATCATCTGCAAGACTGAAATGAAAATGTTTTAAATGGATGCTATTCAACATTTCTTCCAATCACCTTTGCCATAAGACGTTCCATGAGTTCCGCAGATTCTCCAGTCAAAGTTGTGGTGACAGATGGTGTCTGCAAATTTGGAGTCAGTGCCATGAAAAAGCTTTTCTTCCCTCACATTTCCTCCTTTGTTTTTGGTCTTCATCTGATTCTTCTGCCTTCAAGTAGGAGACAGAAAAAATGAACTCAAAGGGGTACATGTACAGTAAGTGTGTGAATGTAAAGTCACTCAATCTATGTAGATGTGAGGCAACCAGAACCCGGGGGACAAGAAAGAAAGAGAAAGAAGAAAAGAGAAGTTGGCAACAGAGGGATACTGAAAATCTGCATAATGACCTGATGTAGGAAAAAAAAACCCCAAAGAAAACAGTAGGAAACCACGGTAACAACCAACATAAGCATAAGTAACAGTAAATAATACATATAGAATGTTACTGAGCAGCATACACGACTAGTAATGCACGATATGTTTACAGGCAGCAGCCAACCAAGATAGTGTGTGTCTGTGAGTACCTGCGAGTACCTGCTTGTACACCTGTGTGAACACTTGTGTGTACACGCATAAGGTTTGTTCATGTAAGTGTCCAATAATAGGTTTGGGGAGCCATAGCCCTGCCCCCCAGGACATGAAGCAGGCATGGAGGAGATCCAGGCCCCAGGCATCTACAGGTCCCCCAGAGCATGAAAGCAATGATCATGACACTTTGCATATTAATGATCAAGGAGCTGACCTCACAGCCCATTGCTCATTCATTGGTGCTGGTTTCAGTCACTGTGTAAATGTACTATTTATAAGGTTGGAAGCCTGCGGACAGCTGAGACTGAAGACGTCACTTGGATGAGTGACGAAACGTTTCTCCCACTGAAAACGTCCAGATGAACAGAATCTGGTTTTCCATCGGTGTGTGAATGTTGTTAGTTTGTACTTGAGTTTAGAAGTGCATGTATAAATGTGTGAATTAGGCATGTTGTATACAGTGCTTTGAATACTCCGGGAGAGTAGAAAAGCGATATATAAGAATCAGTCCATTTAACTTTTTGGGGCGGTATACTAAAATGCTACTTACACTGGACAAAGCAGAAAAAAGTCAGATAATATACATGTTGATCTTAGATCAAGCTTCTGGTTCTGAAAATCTACCTTGCACTCATGAAGTCAACCATGAACTACAATTTGTTCATGGGACGCCATCTGTCTGACAGCAAAGCCTTTGGTCATGCATCAGGACAATGATCCCAAGCACAACCGCAAATACACAACAGAATGGCTGAAAAAGAAACAAATCAATATGATGCCCAATGAATGGCCCAGACTCATTCATGAATGAAATGTTGTAGTGGGACCTTAAGAGAGCTGTGCATAAACAAATGTCCACCAAACTCGATGAACTTAAGCAACACGACCCTAAAAGTTAAAAAAAAAAATTCTTATCAAACAGGGAAGATTAACGTTTGTGTTTGGCAGTGTGATGGTGTGGAGCTCCGCTCTATCCTCCAAGATGTCAACGCTCACCCCCACAGACTACTTCCAGAATTTGGGAGTGGAGAGGACAGAACAGAAGGGACATGCGACAAATGCTGGTTGAAGGATATGATGTCAGCCCACATACTCAACTCTGCTGCTCAACCTGCAGCTGCATTTTCCACCAATTAAGGGAAAATGAACAGGCTTCCCAGATTGAGATTTATTCCAAGAAGCATTTTTACAACACAAGCCAAACATATTTCATTACTACATTAAATGAAATACGTACAGCTGAAAGGCTTCCCAAAGAGCTTTGTTCTGAATCCTCTCAATGTTGATGATATCACAGCTTTTCATGGTTTCAGAGAAAAGAGCTACAACTTCTCTAAATTCTTCCGAGCTGGGCTGGAGTGAGATTCGCTATAAGAAAAAACAGGAACATTAAACATTTTCAGTCACAATTATAAAGGAAAAGTAGAATGGAGTGGAGACAAATAACATAATCACAACGCTAACACACAAAATCTGATATGAAAACCTGTAAAGCAGGTTTTTTCAGCAGATAGTGTGAAATATCTGAATTTATTTTCAGTTTTTATATATATATAAATAAAAAATGGTTTTTTTTACAATACCGAGTATCCTGTTTGAGGGATCTGTGTCTTGTCCCAGGTTTCTGGTATTGGAGTGGAAGTTTGAATCAAAGGCCTTCTGCAGAGAGAAAGGGTTAGAATGACTTTAATTATTGTTTTTAAAGGTTGAAAACACACATCAGATAAATGTAATTAATGATCACTGCGGTAAGCAGACTTCTTTTCTTTATTCAAACTTTTTTAAGTTTTAATTTTAAATGAATAAAATATTTTTCCGTTATAAGCGACAATGAAAAACATCATATTTTTAATTTCTTGCAAATTCCTTGAAAAACAAACCAACGAAAGAA